TAAGAGTCGATCGGCTGCATCGGGCACGCCGCTACAGGCGCTTCCCACTCAAGGTCGGCTGCTTTTTATGTATCAAAAAAGGGACACGCGGGTTACGCAACGCGGGGCCGTAATTTTCTCCCGTAATTGATATCGGTTAAAATCGAGGGCAATCGTGGAGGATCGTAAAAACAACGGTTTTCTCGGGAACGATTACGAGCTGCTCGCGGCGATGTCTTCGGTTCGATGAATAAAATTTCGATTCGTGAATTCTACCTTTCATCCTTTCGAATTCAACCTTTTTTACATTGACAAACGTGATAAACGGGAAATGTTCGGATCGCAATTTTTTATTACGCTTCTTAATTTTAGTTTGTAAATCGGTAGATTTCTTATTAACCCTTTGCACTCGAGTGACTCTCAGTCACCGTTTGATTTGATATAACAAAATTAGAAAGTGTTGTGTGTAATATTAAGTTTTGTATGATGCATCAATATGTGGAACATTTATATAAAATAGCTTTGTTTCTTAACTTATTGTAGTCAGATTTTTATAGGGAAAGTGTTTTCCATCGCGATTCTATTTTTCTCCTTATCTTCCAAAAATGTTGCATTTCTTAGCACTTCTTAGCACAAAATTTGGATGCGTGGAAAATCTAATAATTTCAGGGTAGTTTCTTTAAGATTAAAATATTTAATATTATTCCTGGTGCAATATTGGAGCCTAGAGTTCAAAGGGTTAATCTCATTAAATGCTCAGTAGTTCTAGTGTTAATCCAGAAAAGACCAAGAGCTCCAAAGGCTAAATAAAGTACTTTCAGAACAATACGTGATGAATAACGACGAGTAATCTATTTTCGCGGTACCTTCAAGGCACAGCTCAACATCTGTCGGCTATGTAACGAAGAGACGCGAAGGAACGAAAGAACCACGTGTATAGAAGTGAATGTTTCTGAATGCCTGGCATGTCTGCGCGGCGGTGAAGCAAAAGAAGACGCGGCGCGGAGAGCCAGCGACCCGAAGGCTTGCAACTTTTCACGAGAAAGGTTGACAAAAGCTGGTTATGATAAGTGTTTTAATTTACGGGATGACTGCGCACTCGCATACTTAAGGATTACAACATTTCGCGGTGTGCACACGCCCGACGCGGCTCGCCGGCAGATATCGCGCGTCGTCGTCGAACTTTGCGTTCACACATTCACACATTGTAACAGTGTAATGTGTGCCACGAACCTGCCGGTTTGTTTATTTACAGCGGCGCGCTTGCGCCCGCGGGATATCTGTATCGGATCGGTAATAAACTTGTTTTCCGGAAGCGCGAGCGCGTTTATTATACCGGATACCGCGGCAACTTTTATTTTACGCCGCGTTCCCTCTTCATGGAATATTCAAGACAACGTGCATTGTCCGACTCGTCAACCGATCATACTACGTCCCGTTCCATTATAATCGTTCGCTCTTTTATTCATACCACCTACGATCTCCCCCGTGCCGTTTCTGGTAGACGCGGAATTCGCGTAAACGTTTTTTCTGCGACGTGTGCCGAAGAACAATGGTACGGTTTCGGTCGCACGGGTTGTATTAACCCTTTGAACTCGGAAGTATTCCGATGGATGTGTTTAACATTTTCTAACTAGACAAACACGATGTTTTTTAAAATAGAACTACCGTGACAGTTAAAATGACTGGTTTAGATTCTTGTGTTTAGCAATTATTGGTATTTTCGAAGCATTGAATATTCGTAATGATCTTGAAAATAAATAGTTTCCACTTCCTTAGTGCAAAATTTGGATGTGCGGAAAATCTAATAATTGTAGGGTAGTTTCTTTGAGATTCATTAAAATATCTAATATTATTCCTGGTGCAATATTGGAGTCTAGAGATCAAAGGGTTAACACTAGAACTATCGCACCAGTTAAAGTGACTGGTTTCGATTCTTTTGTTTAGCAATTATTGGTATTTTCGAAGCATTGAATATTCGGAATGATTTTGAAAATAGTTCCATTTCAGTACTATAATAAGTGTCTGAAAAAATTGAGAATGATCTACTGTTATAATTTTCATGGAAATTGCATGTTAATCGTATTAAATGCTCGGTAGTTCTAGTATTAAATAAACTCAAAGGGAAATCACAAGTGAATTGAGGAACAAAGCTTTTTTATCATTACACATAGTTCAATATTAACCCTTTGCACTCGGTAGGCGCTTCAGTCGCTAGTTGATTAGACACAGCAAAATTACACAGTTTGACATTTAAGATTAAAATTCGTAGAGTGCATCGACATGTAAAATATTAAAATAAAACAGCCTCTTTCTTTAATTTACGTGCGATTTCTCGTTGAGTCAGTTCGAAAGAATGTCGTTGGTATTTCATTAAAAAATGTTGAGAACCGATGAAAAACTTCTGGAGTGCAAAGGGTTAAATATCGAATTTCATAGTTTCACTGCATCGAATCAAGTGGTGACCGAGAGAGTCACCTCTCGAGTGCAAAGGGTTAAACGCCGATGAGTTGTCTATCGATATGACGGATTTATGAATCGACGATCGTCTTCCGCTAGTCATTCTCGGATTTCCGGCGACCTGGCACGACCTTTCTTTATTAGAGCGCCTAGAACGACGGATTTCCATTGGAATTCGTTGGCTATTCATGAGGCACGAACGCATGAACGATCGCAGTCTATTTATTAAAGAGTCACTAGACAATCCCAACAATCCAGTGGGTGCAACCGGTTTGCCCGATGTAGCTGCGCAAGCCTCGCAATAATAGGAATAATCAGCAGCCGGCGTTGCCGCAATACCTCTGCCCGGCCTGTCTGCAATTGATACGTATCGAGATACTCATGCGCGAGCATAGATCAAGTATCAACGGACACTTAGGACCGGCGAACGGAAGAGGACATCGAACGACTCCCCCGGATCCTCGAGAGATCCAGAAAAACCAGATCGATTCACCGTTGCACGACTTCTCGTTCTGCGCAGAAACGAGAAAATTCGGTGGATCGGAATTGCTAATGAGCTCGCCACTCGCGTCGCGAGTGTGAATTTCTTACGGATGAACAGAGACAATTATTACAATTATTTTTCTAAAAGTAAATCCGTCAACTTTCATTTCATTCCGGTTTCGATACTTCCCGCTTGGCAATGAAATTTCGATTTTCTTCGATACAGAAATTGGTCGTAATACGTCGGAATAGAAATATTCGGTTTGAGAAGAGTGCTACGAATAGTGTTATCATGATATTTAACGGCAGGAACGATACGAAAATGACTGAAAATAATTATAGCGTTCCCGACAGAATGCACGCGTGTCGATGCAATTTCGAGGGAAGGACATTCCGCATATTTGTCAGTTTTGCGCCGTCTATGTTTGTACATCTATCGTGGACACTTCTTTCGTAGTCAAACAACATGTTAGACACGTGGCGGCGCGGAATAAATTTAGCGAGCGTCATTTCAACGATGGTACATCGGTACGCTCGGGTTCGGAGGAATGAAAAAGAGCCAGCGGACTGCGGACACGTTAATATTTTTTGCAGCGTCAATATTTGTGACAGAGCGGCACGCTGCGAGGAATTTCCGTCCAACCGAGTCATTTCCTCGTGACCGAGCCATGCATCAAACTTTGCCGCGTTTGTGGCCCCATAAATATACCAGCGTCGAATGCACCGTCTCGCGCTCTCCCTAGTTTCGCGTCGTCCGTTCGATCGTTCGCTCGCGACGTCGTCTCGACGCGTGTCGCCGATTCGAAAAGAGACCCGATCTCATTAGAGGTCGTCAATCAGCTCGCTTTTAATTTCAGATGATATTCGTTCCATTGTAATCGAAAATCACGACGGGCGAACGAGCCAGAAGAATTTCCGTCGAATTTCAAGGAATCCGACGGAACTTCCGTTCGAATATTCATTTTCCTGGTGTATAATTCTCGCGTTAAGAGGCGAAAACGTTGTTCCTTCGCTTTCTGGCTCGCAGACGTTTCCGCGATCGCTAAAAAAGGCTCATCCGAATTTCACGACACCTACGGCTCTTGCCTCCGCGAAACGATTTCGTGGTCTCGACGTTTTTTGCTGATAGACTCTGGATCTTTCTATAATTACTCACTCTGTCGCTGAACACCTTCGTCGATCGAAACGTGAAACAGCGACGTTCTGAAAGTTTCGATTTAACCCTCACTCGAGACTCGCATAGTCGAAATTGCAACACTCGATATCGGATGTTCAATATCGATATTCGATGTCAGGTGTTGTGCAATGTAATTATACTTGAAATATTCAAATGAAACAGTGTATTCTTCCTTTCGTGTACCACTCCTGTTTATGATATTTGGAAAAAAACGTCATTGACATTTCATTGCACTGCATACGCGTAAGAAACTACGAATGGAAAGAGTTTCCTCCTTCGGAATGATTTATCAAATTTACTCGAGAAGAATAACTGAAGATTGCCTAGCGAGAATTTTTCTATTCCTCTCCGCGCGAATAGTCATTGTTATTTTGCAGCGAACAGACGTAACCAGCTGATGAACTTACTTTGCGTTGTTTCCTACTGCGTTGATGAACGATCTTTCAATGGAATCTCGCAATTACCTAGTCGATACCAAGGTAGAATGGATAAATGTAAAATTTATGTTCAGAAACTTCCTTTCTAAACTACTCGAAACCTTAGACTTCCGTATTCACCTACACACTATATTAACCGTAAATCATTCACTTTTAAAAAATGGCAAGAATGATCAACAGAAATCCGTTCGAACCTTCTTCCTATCTCTACGATTACCTTAATAAGAAAAGAATAATTTCGGTGTAACCCTATATTCTCAATTCCCAAAATTCGAATGCACTTCATACTAACTTTATTCACTAACAACACTCCACAAATCTACATGGAAAACAAAGCGCGAAGAATTTCAAGATTCCCAAATTTCACCCGAGCCCAAACCAACAATCACCTCTCTGCTCGCAATGTCAACCGGCAAGGGACTCTAACGAAAGAAATATCCCATAGGTGAAAGATACTGACTTACCCAAAAAGCAACCGACTTCGACGGAAGATCGTTTAGTTCCCTCGGCAACGAAGCCAGCAGCAGCGTATCCACTAATTCTACTCTACCCTTTCTCTCGGAGAGCGAGGGTGGCGGGCTACCTGTTCGGCGAAGAGGAATCGCGCGACGATCGGTCTGACAGCGAGCGGAATCGGTGAATGCCGAACGAAGACCGGGATGTGGGCAGCGAGTGACTCGGACGATCGGACTTTGGCTCGCGTCGTGGATCCTGAAGCACCGTGCGACCGGTAGGTCCGAGGAAGATTAATCGCCGTGGCGCGATCCTCACTCCGAGAAAACTACTGCCGAAGTGATAGCAGAAAGCCCGAGTCCGTCTCTGAACACGCACCACTGATGGACGCTGGTGGCACAAGCTTCTCTCTCTCTTTCTCTCTTTATCTCCTTCCTCCCTCTCTCTTTCGCTGTGTTCTTCGGTTTATCTCGTTCGCTCTCGAATGCTCCCCTGCCGCCTCTCTGTCGGTCGGTTTTCGCCCGGCTACCGAACGATATCCTCCCAGCCCGGCGACATAAAGTCCTGCAGTGTGCGGTGGTAGTCTTATATCCCTTCCAGAGCGGACCAGCCCGCAACCGCGCGCGATGCGAAGCGGTTCGAATGCAAACGCTCCGATAGAACACCTTTTTGCAGCTGCGTCAGTTGTTTTCCTCGTTTAGTCGGATCGGGACAGGTGACCGGTCGACATGCGGCCTTACACCAAGATCGATTGTCTCCCGTTGAACGATTTTTTCGTGGTTTCTCACTGTAGATGGATAAAATACAAGAGTGTTTTCGACGGTCCCGTTCCGAGGATGCCTTCGTCCGATTGTTTTGAGGGGGAACGACGTGTTCGGCCGGTGTTTATCTTCGTGGATGTTTTTCGGCTCTCGCCTCCTCGATTTTTGGCCGATAAAGCTAACAGGGACCCTTGAGTGCTCGCTTATTTGCCGATTTCTTTCCTTAGGGAGCTTTCGCTCTCGCCGATGGAGGATCCGTGTTGTTAGCGCGCTCGATGATTTACATATTTCGATAAAATGGAAGGAATCGCTTTCGATTAACGTGTTATGGGGCTAGTTTTTATCCGGTTCTTTCCCTGTTCCAGAACTGATAAGACAGTGTCGGGCGGATTGAATAATGCGTTCTTCCGTATGAATTATCGACCGTTCGGCGTCGACCTGTTGCAAGGAGCCGCTCGCGTGAGTCATTTGTGCAGCGTTCGGTCGATTTGATTGTTTTGTACCGGCGACTCGTTGAGAGAAAGAACAGTGACGTAAAAATTGTTGGTTCGAGTCGGATCTTAAATGACAGCCGACGATCAATATTTGCTATCGGTCGTATCTTTACTTCTATGACTCATTAAGCACCTACTAAGTATTCTCGTGCTCGTCAAATGTCTCTTCTATTAAATAATACATTAATATTAATTGTTTGTTTAATTAAATTTCAGCGATTTATGGTAAAATCATTGTGTAATACCCTTTTGTAACCTCGCCTTTGTTTTACTGGGAAATCACACTATTGTTGTTCATTACTGTTTGACTAGATTATAATAGCAATGAGCTCGAAACAAAGGATATTATACTATAGTTGAGGCTCGCTTCGTTGTAATTAAATATAGAACAACACAAATGGCTTACCAATGATACACTTCTAAATGGGATAACCACACAAAGCTGTCGAACTACATTCTCAGCGATTGTATATGCATAATGCGACTGCACCCATCGAGACGTTGCAAGGTAACGTTCAGGCTAAAGAAATTAAATAAAAGATAAACGAAAGATATTTCGGCAAACATTTCTTACTTATTACAATTCACCTGTCCCAACTTCCTCATACGAACTCTAAGAACGAACCTAATTAAATACTATTCGTCTATTATAAGTCGTTAACCTGTAGAACGTACGTGATCATCAAATAAGTGAGAGATCCCTTTCCTAATTTATAATCTACTCTAACCTAATTGTCAACGGGACATTAGTTTCATCGAGCTCGGTCGCGAAAGAAGTCATCAGGGCAAGAGGTCAACTCGTTAAAATGTGTTTTCCAGTGTAATCATAATCAGAATCATTCTCTTCCGGAGCTCGAATTAACCGGAATCCGCGCCTCGTTTTGTCCACGGTCAATCTCATTGAACGCGTCGCCGACGATATGAAAATAATAATGGCTGACATTCACTAGGAACGGACAAACAAATGCAGAAACCGGAGATAGAACGACAAAACGAGCAAATCGTCCTTGAACGGATAATCGGTACTGCTTCGCACATGGGAATAGTTCGCGTTTCCGTAAAAATGCTCGCCGGACGCGCGCGCTTTGCTGCTTTGCATTTTGACCAAGCTGTAATCTACGTCATCCGAGGTTCTCGGCGAATTTTGCGTGTCACGCTCCTGTTACATCACTCCACGATTCAAGCAGATTTTTCGCGATCGACGCTTCAGCGATCAACGTCGGGGAGATACGAGTCCTTGATTATCAGGCTAATTACGATTTAGACGGTTAGACTAATGAAATGGGACGGTAGAATCTCGACTGAACCAATTGGCACTATGGTTCATGTAGTCAAATATTTTGAATAATCAGGATTCTGTGTCTGTTTCGGATGATTGAAGATCTAATGTGATTACTTCATGAGCGAACTGTGTAGACAACGGTGTTCGGATAAAGGAAGTGTTAGATAAGATTTTGTAACATTACAAATGTTCACGGGAACGTTAATTGCTGGGGGATGTTCATTCCCGTATAGCGATTCTTCAGAATTTGCATTGCATTTCGTTCTTGTTCCTGGCGAACGTCAAATATCGTTGGAAACCGAGCAAACATTTGCGAGCTGTAATGGATCTAGAGTAAATCTTTGTCTTATAGATCGTATTGGGGATAACCTGGTGTCTAACGAAATGCAATTCGATTGCATTCTACTGTGTGCTCGAATGTAATAATCAATCTTACAGTCGTCCATCGCGGTCGATTCGCAATTGAAATCGAGGCGATCGCATCGAGTACGTTACTAATTAGCTACTAATTAGTTAGACATTCGTGATTGCAGATAGTATCTTGCAATCGATTCGAAAGTCTTCAATCGTTAATCTTAACACGCAACCGGATGACATTGTGTTAGACTCTGGCACAATCTTCTCCGATGATTAATTTCATCATCGTAAATGTTACAGGAACCATCGTAACGCGCGAGATTCGTGAAATATGCATGATCACTTAAAACTATGTTTATAGAAACTATAAAATTGATTTTAACCCGTTAACCGTAAAATTTAATTTCAGACATCTCAGGCAATGCTCGCAATGAAATAAAATAATGAAGTGTACACACGTCTAACGCAGGACGAATACACCTATAATATGTTCTAACGAAAAGCTAAAGCAAAACGAACAAGAGTTACGCGTGTATCTGAAAAAATGAATAATTCATCGCTGAAAGAGTTAGTACCATTTTAATTTTAAGACGACGCGTATACTCGTTAAACGCAGTTAATTGGTTAACGCGTTGAGAATTTATAGATTTATTGCAAGATTTGTTCCTTCGTAATACAGGAAAATAGTATTAGAAATAATTATTAATGTTTTGGTATTACAGTGCTCATAAAAGCGCTTTATTTTCAAAGAATGTTAAGAATGCCTTGAAAAGTTTGATTAGGTCTTGGTTAGGTAAACAGTATTAGAAATAATTATTAACGTTTCGGTATTACAGTTCTTATATTACACTATTAGCTAGCATCTTGTGTTTCTGAATATTTTGATTCAATGGCAATTTTTCTTATTGTAACTGTTCTCGAGCAATTTCGAAGCTCCGGTCACCGGTGACCACCGTGGAAGTTAACTGATTAAAAAAGCATGGAACGTTCGTGAGAAAAGCAGTAAGGTCGACATCGATGCAGGGGCCAGGGAGATGGCGCAACGAGAACGAAACTCACGGAGATAGAAATTTCATCGGGCAGTGATGTAACACACGAACATTCCTTTTTCTTCATCTCGGCGCGGTGTAGCCGCACGAGAGGAAGACACGCGACGAGCGAAGGAGGTCTAGGTCGTGCATTCAAATTAATCGGCTCCAGAACACGAGAGTTTCTCGTGTATAATTATAGGTAGAGAATACCTCAGTGCTATATTGGAAAGTACTGAACCGGTGCCGATCGCAAGCGTCCGCGCGTGAAACAGTACGCACGCGACCGTGCTTTTCTTGTTCGCGTAAATAACGTGCGCTCCGAGTACAGTCCGTACAGGAGAACCTCCGTTATGCGAATGTTCCGTTAGTTCAACGTTCTATTACATGAACAGCTCGTTACTTGAACGTTTTGTTACCTGAACGATCCGTTTCATCAACATTCTAGTAAAACTAGTTTTCTTGCTTGAAGGTTTTATCAGATGCACGTTTTGTTAATTGAGTATTTTATTAGATGGATATTCTGTTACTTAAACATTTTATTAGTTACACGTTCTGTTAGTCGAACATTTTATGAAACGAACATTTTGTACTCATTGTTGCGTTCTGTTAAACGTCGCAAGAAAAGTGATTACATATCGTGGCAACATATCGATTCACGATAAACGAGTTCAGAATTACGCAACGCAACGTTAGATTATAATGTTGATAAAACGGATACGTGCAGCATAAACGGCTGAAGGAAAAAGTGACACGATTAAAGAACTTAAACCGCGGAGATCGCGCAACGAGACTAACACCAAGGTATCGTGTAGCAAAATCAACCTAATTGCTTGTGTCCGTTTTATGTGATCGTTTGTTGAACATTCTCGTCTTGAAATTACTTCAAAGGAAGGCTATTTTTTAATCTTCTGATGTTTGTATCGTGGATTGTTGCTGAACGACGAGGGGACAAAAGGTAGACGCCTGGTCCGAGAATTCATACGATTGTCCTTGTACGCAACACGTGGCCAATCAACGAACAGTAAATTAACCAAGTAGTTGCCGTCCGATCATTAGACAACAACGATTCGTCTATAATGTATTTTTTATGATCTCGGTGTTTTCCCCGCGTCAAACAGCGGACGCTAAGGTTCATCGACTAATAAATCTACCCGGACTGATTATCATTCGGATGATATTTCATTTGAAATGTTTGCGCACGAATCAACAGTTCCTATCCGGACAATACACTTGGACGGAAAGTAATACAGCGAAAGGAAATGATCGACGGAAAATTGCTTATTAATGCTCGCAAGTAGTAAACGAGTCGAAATGGTCAATTTTAATTTTTTGATTTAAAATGACGGAACTCAGAAAGGTCTTGCTGTAGGAAATCGTTACGTAAAGTTATTCATGTATGTGCATACATTTTTGCGCAACTGCAATGATGCGTTGCTTTTGTAAGTAATGCGGAGCAATTTTTTCGGCTTCTCGATTCCTGCCGAGTTTCGTTAATCGCGGAAGCAATTTGGTAATTATTCATGTGCAACGAGTCGACTACGGATCCTTCAGCGTTCAGAAGTTTGAAAGTGTGAAATTACATTTGAAATTAATTTCTCCTTCGCCACAGGTTTAACCCTTTGCACTCGGGAATATTTTTCTCAATAAATATTCATTATTTTTTGGTGAAACGTCAATGATATTTTTTGCAATTAACACGAAGAAATACCTTGCGTAAATTGAGTGACAGA